TTTGAACACTTCGGAGTTCGCTGCATCAACTTTGTTAGGGCACAACTGTCGCCGGCAGCTGATTGTTCAGTTGGATATGCGAAGCAGGTAGATTCGAATATTTACTTTGTCATCAATCTTATTGTCTTCTTCTTGGAAATATCTTCTATTCTACTGAAATGGTGATCATGTGTTATTTATGTATATTGAGCTATTTGTAGACGACCAAATATAAATTTCAGATGAACGGCGCAACTCAGTATCAAGACTTATCCCATATTTACGGCAGTACTAAAGAGAAGACAGATTCATTAAGAGCTCCTGGAGGTCTACTCAAGGTATTCAAAGACTACGGGAGAGATCTTCCACCTGCTACTGGCAAAAAAGAATGCTTGAACAGCAAAGGAAGTGTTTGTTTCGACTCTGGTAGGCATTATTAAATACAAGACAAATTTTCCATGTAATCTGAGAATAATCGTAGTTACTGCATTTTATTTCAGGCGATAACCATGCCAATCAAATCTTATCCCTCACCGTACTGCACACCATTTGGACGAGAGAGCACAACCGTGTAGCGAGAATCCTCGCCCGACTCAATCCGAAGTGGACAAATGACACTGTGTTTATGGAGACCAGAAGAATTCTTCAGGCGGAATTCCAACATATCATTTACAATGAATGGCTGCCGTTGCTACTTGGTGAGATCATCTTAATACATTTTTTAATCTCATTTTTACTCAGATCTGTGAACGAAGAACCTTTTTATTATCGTCTTTTTAGTTTCCTATTGCATGATAATTGTTTCTTTTAGGTCCTCAAATAATGCGAGAATTTCAATTACTTACGTTTCCCGGCTACTCGTCAGGATATGATCCCCAAGTGAATCCATCACTGACAGTAGAATTCTCTGCGGCAGCGATGAGATTCGGACATTCTGTTGTTGATGGGAAGATCATGTAAGTACCATATTTTTAGTAATTACAAAAATTAGGACTAGTTTTTAATATTTTCCGTGAAATTTAACCGAGATGGTATTCAGTCGATTGTTTAATTTGTTTAATATTTCAATTGCAGGGTTCCAGGTCCAAAGAGTGGCGAAGTATATGAAACAATATCGATACCGGAAATAATGCTTCAGCCTTCACGATTACGACTTTTGCCTTTTCTGGACAGATTACTGATTGGTCTTTTGATGCAGCCTATGCAGTCGGTTGATCCTTTTATTACTGAAGGGGTTAGTTAATACATAGATAACAAAGTAGTAAACGTTAAAAAGTTCTGGAGTTAAGGCAGTAATTCTTTTATTTCAAGTATGTACTTAACTTTGATTTGAAATATTGTTATTGCTGATTCTAGAACAGCCAGTCATCAATCCCCCATTTCTTTCATTCTTTAATTTAAAATTCTCTCTGATTTGTTTGTTTTTCAGTTATCCCGTTATATGTTCCGTGGCGTGAAGCCTTACGGGTTAGACCTTGCTGCT